TAATTTTTATTAAAATTCAATAATATATAGATTTAAATAAGTTATTTATTATATTAAAATTTTATAAAATGTTTAATTTAAAAATATATATTTGTATATATCTTGAATTTTCCTAGAGCACTTTATGTTTTTTATAGATTACACAAAAAGGTCAACTTTAATTAGTTAATTTCTGAAAAACTATAAGAGAATTTTAATAGTAAATTTTTAGAGAAATTCTATTTTCAACTGGATAAGCATCACCCACCAGCTACAGTGGCATATAAAGATCAGCCAATCACATAACTCACATTTAACCATAACCAATAAAATTTCGTTATATGAATAAAAGTGCTAATTAACTAAATCTTGTTCATAGTATATCAATATATGTATATACATACGTATATATATATATAACTGCCATTTTGCTATGTATCATCTTGGTTACAGTCACATGACTACTGACATTCTCATATGCAAAAACTTTTTATTTTGTACCACAACTATATAAATTTCTTATAAAAAAACCCAGATACTATAGTTAATAATGTGTAGTACTTCTAATTGTAAAGTTAAATGCTTTGTATAATGTGATCAGAGCATGAAAGTAAATGCAAGTTTATATACAAGTTTATCAGAAGTTTATAATTTGCATAATCAAAATAAAATAAAAGTGCAAAAGTAAAAAAAATGTGTTGGTCTTTTTTTTTGCAAGTTAAAGACAATTAGTAATAAAAAAGTCAATAATATATTTACATTTTATGTGCTGTATTTGACTAAACAAATATTATTGTTTTTATGTAACAGTATTTTTTAAGCTAGATAAAGTCATAATTACTGCTACCATGATACTACATATTAATATGTTTGGTAACTTTTTATTTTCATAATAAATTCTTTTCTCAATGAAAACACTAATTTTTGTATTGAACTTAATACTGAACATGATATAGTTTTGATAATAGTTATTATGCCAATGTTAATGAAACAATTTAACAAATATCTTCAAACAATAATTATTCATCAATAGTGGTTGGGCAGACTTTTGCTACTTAGAATAATGTCATACAATATATTAATACCTATGCTATCGAACAAGGGTTTGCAATGAGACTTGACTATATGGAGAAAAGCTTGGATGTCACTATTAGAGCAGAAATTGTTTATCATCATGCTGGTATCACAAATAGTAGAAGCACTGGATTATGACATATAAGGAGTATTACTATTGGTTGCTCATATAAAAATAATTGTCTATTGGTTAAAAGCAAAATATCATATGAAATACATTAACCTTGAGCATAATCATCTGATAGATACTGCTATAGCTGTTTTTGATCCTGGTTATTGCAAATTAAGCAATAATGAAAATAATCAAGTGCTAATACTTTATAATAGTGGAATACTGATGTAAATAATTATTAAAATGTTAAATGAAAAGTATAGAAGATACATTTATAATAAGGATATGTATAATTTATTAAACCATCAGTCTTATAATTGTGTTAAAGGTTTATCTAAAATATCATAACTCTTAAGTAATTTACATAATAAAACTGAATATTTAGTTACTTATTTAGTTAAGAACAACAAACTTTACTGCCTATTTTTTTTTACACATTCTGCACTTATGAGATTTGAAAATTACCCAAAGGTTGTGCTAATAGATTCTATATACAAGACTAATTGTTTTGGAATGCTGCTCTTTCTTATTAGTAGTATGATACTATAATAATACTTTTTTTTTTTTTTTTTTTGTATTGTGTAGATTTTTAATAATATCATGATTTATAAAGTATTATATTTCTTATTGCAACTGAACTTCTTACTGACGAAACTGCATCAACTTTTTGTTGGATATTTCAACAACTAAAGCAAGCAGCTAGTAATGCAGTTAATAGAATTTAAATAATTTTAACTGACAAAGATCTTGCCTTATTATCTGCGATTCAAGCTGAAATGTCATATGTTAAGCACTGAATATGTACCTGGCATGTAGAACAAAACATTGTTAGAAATCTAAGTAGTAAACTTAAAGAGAAATTTGTAGCATTTAGTAAAGATTTCAAAACAGTGATAACTGAGAATACCAAAGATCGATTTAATATTAGTTAGGATAAACTGATAACTGAGTACTTTGAGTCTAGTAATTATATGGAACAATAGAAATCTATTGCTTACATATGGGCATATTGCTATATCAACAAATATGTTAATTATGGTATAAGGACAATCCAGCACTCAGAAGCAAGTAACACATATTTGAAACATCTTCTTGGACATATAGCACTTTTGCTCTAATTAATAACAATGTTAGAAAGATTATTTTGTTACCAGTTTCAATGTTCACAATATTAGCAATATCACTTATTCAGAAGTACCTGCCAACAATGCCTTGAGATATTAAAAAGTATTTCTATAGCTATATCAGATTTTATTTACTCATTATTGCTTGAGCAATATAATAAAGCCAAGGCTTATGATGTTTAAGAACAAGAAGAAAATCTAATTAGAGTTTTTAATAAAGATCACAAACATACAGTGTATTAAAATGAAGTAGAATTAGTTTGTTATTGTAATTATAACAAACAATTTTCATTACCATGTTGTCACATTATAGCTGTTCATATTATTTATAAGAAGTCTTTAAGTGTTAATTATATTGGTTTTCATTGAGTTATTAAACTAAATAATACTACTAATATAATGCAACTTAAAGAACAACCTAAACAAAATGATATAAATGATAATAATCTCTCAATTGATGTTTTGTCTTCTACAGCTTTTGAAATACTGATTAATCAGAAATTAACAGTTAGAAGTACTGCTGATTTATTTAAAGAAATTAAAACAATTTCTAATAGAGTTGGTCATGTTGAAATCAATAGTAGTCTGGCTAATTTAGTAGATCAATTAAATAAAAAATATTCTTTACTACAAGCCAATATACAAGATCCAGCCAATATCAAGACAAAGGAAAGACCAGGCAGTACAAAATACAATAAAACAGATGCAGAACATGCTTCTAAGAGAGCATATGTATGTGGCATTTGTAATAGCACTGAATATAACTTTAGAAATTGTCTATCCATGATATGTAAAAGATGTTTAATGTATGTTAATATGCAAGACTTACTATTACTGTTACTAAAGTATTTTATTTAATTGCTATTATAGTAATAAGCAAAAACAAGTGATGGATTTAAAATGCTTTTTTTTTTTTTTTTGCTTTTGCTAAGGCCTTTTAGTTATAATGGCTACTGCCTTTATTGTGAATTCAATTATGATTATATAACTTGTACAAGGTTACCTCTATACTACACTAGCAGA